AAATGGTACAATACTAACCAACAAAGAATAACTCATCAAAAAAGAGATCATATAGGTGCGACCAGGAGATCAACTTCTGGCAAAAAAACATTCAAAAACATACAGCAGCGGGGATTCGCCAGTGGTCACTCACCTGACTACTGGTCCGCCGGTCGAAGGCTTAACGCACGAAGATCAAACGGGATTCAGTGGACTACTTCGCCTGTGGTCGTATGTGGAAGATTTACTAAAGTCGTACATATAAGTTTTCATCCCGTCTCAATTCAGATGACTTGTGACAACCTCGGGATCGCCAAGACTGGATAGTCATTTTGATAACGACGCAGCCAGAACTTTTGTAGAATTCTGCGACCTCTCTGTTGGCAGTCAGCCTCAAACGCAGCAAGACATATATGTTCTCAATTCTTTTCATCCTATCCTACCCTCATGCGCACTACTCTTGTATGATATAGTAGATAGTCAAGCTGCCTTTCATTGTCTAACAGGGAAATGAGTGGTTATTGGCCTGCTTCCCATTAATCCTATTATCGACTCTGGCCAGTGTCTGTGATGCCGTCTTCCGCACGGATAGTGTGTCTATAAAAAGGCCAAGGATGGATGTCGTTGGAGTGAACGAGAGGTTGGGAAGCGGCTAGGAAGCGCAGTCAGGCGCCGGCTGGTTCAGGCGCTGCCCCACCAAAACCACTCAGATCAACTCGTGCATGCTCGAACCCACCCCAAGCGCCAACGAAGATCCATCGCCTTGCCTGCTATCGCTGCTGCGTGCTACTGCGCCTCTATTTAATCAACCAGCTCCACTTCCCTCGTTCGCCATCCCCCTTCACCAAAACGGCTTCTTCAGCTCCCGCCCGCGACAGCTCTCGCTCCTCGTCCCCTCTGCGCATCGCCAGCCAACTGACGACGGCATCGGCCATCCTCTGGGACCCCAAGTTCACCTCCCGTGCGCCCCCGGGCAGCCTCCAGCCGACGTACGCAGGCACTCTCGCTGTGCCCAACCGCACCGACTCGTCTATAAGTGTGCGCAACCTCGGCGACGGCCATATCACCCCCATCGCGCCTACCATGGACAACCGGAGACACCCAAGCTCCTTCCAGCAGCTGGAGAAGCTTGGCGAGGGCACATATGCGACTGTGTGTTACTACATGATACGGTGTACTCGCGGCATACTGACCTGTGCAGGTGTTCAAAGGCCGCAATCGGCAGACGGGTGAGCTGGTGGCCCTCAAGGAAATACACCTCGACTCAGAGGAAGGCACGCCTTCCACGGCCATCCGCGAGATTTCCCTTATGAAGGAGCTCCGCCATGAGAACATCGTCCTGCTGCACGATGTAATACATACAGAGAACAAGCTCATGCTGGTGTTTGAATTCATGGACAAGGACCTGAAGAGGTACATGGACTCACGAGGCGACCGAGGAGCTTTGGACCCTGCGACTATTAAATCCTTCATGTACCAGCTCCTCAAGGGCATCGCATTCTGCCATGAAGCGCGCGTCTTGCACCGAGATCTGAAGCCACAGAACCTGCTCATCAACAACCGGGGACAGCTGAAGCTGGCAGATTTTGGTCTAGCACGCGCATTTGGCATCCCCGTCAACACCTTCTCAAACGAGGTCGTCACCCTATGGTATCGCGCGCCCGACGTTCTGCTCGGCAGTCGGACGTATAACACAAGCATCGACATCTGGTCAGCAGGCTGCATCATGGCTGAGATGTACACTGGTCGGCCGCTCTTCCCGGGCACGACCAACGAAGATCAGGTTCAAAAGATATTCAGATTGATGGGAACGCCGTCGGAGCGCTCATGGCCGGGCATCTCACAACTTCCAGAGTACAAGGGCAACTTCCCCGTTTACGCAACCCAAGATCTACGTCTCATTCTTCCTCAAGTCGACCAGGTCGGCCTCAATCTCCTCAATAGCATGCTTCAACTTCGGCCAGAGATGCGCATATCAGCTGCAACCGCCCTCCAACATCCTTGGTTCAACGATCTGCCGCAGCGACAGCAAGAACTCGCACGACTCCAGGCGCAAGCACAGGTGCAGGCGCAACAGGCACAGATGGGAGGTTTCCAAGTTCCTCAAGGCGCCTATTAGTACCAAGGCGTAGATGATTATTTGACGCGGATGACAGGGGCTAGATAACCGCGTCGCAAATGGCAGAAATGATTGTATAAGAAATGAGTATCGAAGAAAAGAAAGAGAAGAAGAGATCGGGCTAAAATAATATATCCATGCCCTCTGATAGGCGTCAAGAGGCACAGCAGAGTCGAATGAAGCTTTAATTGCTCTGCCTTAAGGCTATGCTAGTAACTGGATGTTGTCTCCTCATCAAACCTGGTTCGATTGTGACGTCCCATACCGTTTCCCTGACCATTTCCTGGCCGAAACTGATTCCACGGAGCTCATCCGCTTTTGGACAGCTCGAGAGAGGTCCTCAGTCATTCAGAAAGGATCAGATTGCCATCTTAACACTTCTCCATCGAAGCTACCGGACCCAATACCGTCCTTCTTGAGTCCCGAAGTACTGTTCGCTCTCCTGCGCAGTAAGGCGATCGGCGGAAACTGATATAGGCAAATTAAATCGTTGTTATTGGTGCATACTTCCATCATCGAACTCAATATCAATGTCCTTCGATTATTATATCTTTTATTCTTCATTCGTCCCGCTCTCTCGCATCTATCTACCCTCATCACCTCCTCAATGTCCCACTAAAGCCTGGTTCGCGGCGCCATATCTATTGCCCGAGGGCTTCGCAGCTTCAACGATCCGTCGCATCTCCTTCTGCTCTTCGTCCGTCAACTCAATGTTCCTAGACGCAAAATTCTCCTCTCACCGCTTTGCCTTGGTCGTACCTGGGATCGCTATCATGCCCTGAGCAGCGACCCAGGCGAGAGCAACCTGAGTAAGCGTGCAACCCTTCTTGGACGCGAGCTTCTTGATTTCATCTACAATGGCTCTGTTCTTGTAGAAGTTTTCGCCTTGGAATTTGGGAGCTATAAAGCACATTAGCATACGGACATCCTTTCTAATGGAAATTTACTTTCCACCTGGAGGTCTGTGGGAGGGGGAGTGGGAAGGAGAGGGGGAGTTGACTGACATTCACGGCGGAAATCGTCCGGAGCGAAATCATCTGGCGTTTTGTATGGGAAGTCATCGACCAGCCATCCGTGTCCCAGCGGACTGTAAGCTACATACGCAACACCCAGATCTCTCGCGGTATCGATCAAAGAATCCGTTTCGTGTAGTGTCTCAAAGGCTGAATACTCTGCTTGCACGGCATCGATCTTGGCAACTGTGATGAATACAATTTCAGTGTAAATCCTATCCCCATCTCCATAATGCGCGTGGATGAGCAATAAAAAAAGAGCTTTACTTACTCGAGTTTGCCTTGCGGAGTGTTGCGGCAGAACACTCTGACAGACCAATGTACTTGGTCTTGCCTTGCTTCCGTATCTCATCAAGAGCAGGGATGGACTCCTCCAGCGGCGTTTCTATTTACGCGTGTCAGGTTAGTTAGTTTAGGTAGGCAGATACAAAGATATGGGTGTGTATAGAGAGGCTCAGAGACTACCTACTAGGATCGATTCGATGCAGATAGTAGAGATCAGGTGCGAAACCAAGTCGCTCGATGGTTCCTTCGATGTACGTCTTGATGTGTGTCGCGGAATTGGTGACACTGCGGTCCCCGAAGACGTCGAAACCGCATTTGGAAGCGACTATACAGATGGTTATCTTTGTGAACGATGCGATGCGATGACCCTTCCTTGACCAACGGGTACAACCCACTGAATAGCTTGTCACGAGCATCATGCTTCCTGATGAATTCGCCTAGCAGCTTCTCATTCACGCCCGCTTGGTATACGACCTATATATTTCCCATTTCATTGTTAGTTAGTCCTTTCTGATGCCAAACTCTATCAACTATCCGAAGGAGGCGACCGTTGATTCTGACCAGTACGCACCGCTGTGTCCCAGAATGTACATCCAAGCTCAATTGCTTTCAGCAGCACGGGTTCGGCTTCCTCAAGAGTGAGATTATAGCCCAGGCCAAAGCTGATGCCCATTGCGCCGAAGCCTGGCGTTGGGACTTGGATATCGGCGAAAGGGAGGGTTTGGACCATGATTTCCGACGAAGTTATGAAATGCTCAAGATGTGTGATTGTAGGTGTGGTGAGAGGAATCGAAGGGTCTACCTAGTCTTCATCACCGATTTATATACACCTACCATGCTTCTTACTTCATCGTCAATCGCATAAACGTCAGAAGCTCCAGCGTCTGCTCAAGGGAGCAAGCTGCTGCACATGGCTGACCTGATGTAGGCTTATTTCCATTTGTCCCACAATTGCGCCGAACCCCACTGTAGACTAGCACACCTAGCTTCCAAGGTTAGGTGCAGGTGGGGTTCAGGGAGTTAAAACTTCACTATACCGCCTGGTTCGGAGTTAAAAACGTCATTTGAGCTAGCTTGTACAACGACTACTTCAAGTAAAAGTCGATGAGATTGGCTTCTTTGCTTCGTATGGCTCTGCGAACGTGAGGTTATGCTGCAATTCTGCTGGCTTTCGCTTGGTGACTGTACCTAAGATGATACGCATTTTTTTAATGAGAGTAAAACTGCTTACAACTACTTACGAGCATGGAAGAAGCAGTTTGGCTACCTCACACTGTGAATGCCTGCGTTCAGCATGGACTGCGTTTATTCCACTCGCAAGCCAGTTAAAAAAGCTCCAATCCTTGATCCTGGCAGATATGGTCCTAAGCTGTTGAATGTATCCCAATCACACAAATGTCCCTCACTTGTTTGAAATAGGAAGAATAGCCTGAAATGCTGCATTCGTCAGCGGGGTGAAGGTGTGTGAAGTTCATATGATAGGTCGATTTCACCAGTCTGAGGCAACGCACACCTTTATCTGTATGTACTAGTCCGGCCTACATCTTCTAGTATATCTTCTCCGCTCGCAAAACAAAAATAAGCAAAAATAAAGCAGCTGCAACTGACCAACCTGAGAGTCGAACTCAGGACCTCCATAACATGCCAATACTTCGCCCTGGTCCCCCCGAAGACCGAGTAGTCTCCTGGGTTCTCGGCGGGAGTGGATTGAAGCCATGGCACGCTACCACTGCGCCAGAAGGTCGTATGCTGTTTGATATAGGTTTCGATTGCATATTGATACTATATAGTAAGGTAATCGCTATGAATCAAAGTCTACAACTAGTCTCCCCGCAACTTTACCGCTGCGTAGCTTATCGACAGCTTCGGGCATCTTTGCGAGAGGGAAGACTTCATATATTGGCTTGAGTTGGCCCTAGATCATGTCAGCTGTCACATGAAGCATTTAGATAGGAACAAAAGGGGGGACTAACCCGCGCAGCAAATTCCAGAGCCTTTGTTGTATCGTATAGTGACCCTACCTTCGTGCCAATGACATGCAAGTTCTTACCGACCATAAGCAGCGGGTCTGCGCCTGCAAAGGCGGTTCCCGCGGGCGCTGCTGAATGTCAATACTACACTCATCTGCGAAACGATTTCTTGAGCTTACGAAGTCCAACACACATAATCCTCCCTCCAATTCTGCACATCATGGGCGCACTTGAATACGCCGCAGCACTCGTCGCCGTCACAAACACACCATGGGCGCCCTTGCCATCACAAATCTTGACCACCTCTTCAGCCACATCTTTAACCTTCGTGAAGTCCACAAACGCCTCGCAACCCAACTTCATGCACAAATCTTTCTTGTCGTCTCCCCCATCGACACCGACAACGCGCATACCCATAGCTTTCGCGAGCTGCACACCCATGTGACCGACGCCACCTCCTGCGCCCGGAAATACAGCCCAATCACCGGGCTTTAAACCAGACTCCTTGAGCGAGCAGTAGATCGTGCTGCCGGAGCACATGATGGGACCAGCACTGAAGTCGTCCACACCTTCTGGAATGCGCTGCGTATATCTCGCCGGTGACAACAGGTATTGTTGATAAGAACCGGGATATTGGAGTCCGATTTGCGGCGAGTCGTCGCAGTATGTTTCTTTTCCCGTCCAGCAGAGCTCACAGTTAAAACATGCATCGTAGGCTGGTTTGATGCCTGCGCGGTCTCCGACTTTCCAATTCTTGACGTTGGATCCTATCTTCACGACTACGCCGGCGCCTTCGTGGCCTGGTGATTTTACGCCGAAAGTTGACATTGGAGGGATGGGTAGGTCGTTCAGCATGTAGTGGACTAGGAGGCGCAAAGAGGTACCAGGGTTAGTATTTGTTTCATTGTGAATATGGCTTTTTTTCGAGGTACAGTTGCTAGTTTAAATTACATACTGTCCGAGTAGCAGATTCCGGTTGCGTTGAGTTTGATGAGCACATCGTCAGGACCTGTTGTTCATTGGAAGTTTAGTGTGATGCAGGAGATATTGCGGTATATGGGAGGCTTTACCGGGTTCGGGAACAGGCACATCTTCGACTGCAAGTTTGAAATCCGGACCCTCATTGACTACTACGCCGGCCTTGCATGTTTTGGGGATGTCGTTGTTACTGTTATTTGCCATGATTAGGATGGATTATTCTGATAATTCGAGGCTAAGCACAAAGTATCGAGCAGGTCGGGATGCAGGGCAGCAAAGTCGTATGGTTTTATAAGGGATAACGATAGGCTAATACATGTCATGTCCGCAGATCAGGCGCCCGTAAACAAATACAGTAAGCTACCTGCTATCTGTATGTAAGATGCGGGGCACGAGGCGGGGAGGGGACTACTCTGCCTTCAGGCATGTTAATTTGTCGGCGCCGTAAGCAGTCGAGTTCAAATGATATGACGCAACGAAGAACAGTGAGCTCGGGGTGTAAGCGGCTAGATGGGCGTTGCGATCGAATCGAATATGCTGACTTCGACAACGCTGACTGCTACCAAGGCGCTCGTGATCGATGATACTCCACTACCGAAAGTCAGACTGAGTCATGGCGCTTGCTCTGGATAACCGTGGCCTATAGTATACGCTTGCACGGCTTGTTAGTGGAAAGGCACTCACAAGAGCAAAAAAGAAGGCAATCTTGTCAAAGGACAAAAAAGAAGAACATTGACCCTATTGCGATTCGAACGCAAAACCTTCAGGATGTCCCAATATGACTGGAATCTGACGCGCTACTAGAAAACTGTTAGCGAAAGCAACAACGTAGGGTAATTAAGAGACTAACCCATTGCGCCATAAGGCCGATGAGGACTGATGGGAGTTTTTAAAATAATGTCATTCATAATGTCAATTCATTGAGATTATTATTGCGAGAGGATGGAACTTGCACCGCCCTTCTGATTTGCAATTTGCATTAGGATAGTGGGGTACGGCGACCGATATTCCGTGCTAACTAATGTAAGCGAGCCGTGTTAACCTAGCACGCTAGCTCTCCCACTGGCCCACCACGCCCACCCATCCGCCTTTCTTTCTTCTGGGTATCAGGCTCGAAGACGGTAACACGAAAAGGCCAGTTGCAGGTGACATGCAGTATATTACAAGTACTGCCAACCAATCTGGAGTCATGCTACGTTCGCACAGAGTACGATGTGGGATGACCGACCGTATGCACTTAGCGTATGTTCAATTCCAAACGTCCCGATGTGTTGTGGCTCAACTCTGCCAAGGACTCCCTTTGGAGTCTACGACATGAAGACCGTACCTACCACTTATTCACTTCTTCAGTCGTTGCACACCTCAGTGTGTAAGCGTGCCAGCCTTGCATCAGTACGTCGACTGTCGTGATCTCAATCAGTCACGCTTCCCACGCAAATTCGTGAGTTACTGATCCACTGAATTGAATCGAATCGCTCGGAAAATTCCATTGCTAGGTGGTATGTACTCAAGACCGAATGCTGATTTTCAGATTGCTTCATTCGTCGACTCAGGCGAACCGATAGCCAAATGTACGAGAGAAGATGTGTTCAGTAGAAGTCTTTCACGGGCGTACCCTTATTTCAAGAGCTATTCTCATCCCGACTGGGTACGTATGCGGTGTTTCCCTTGTTTCCATGACTCGGCGCCAACTTCGTTGGTAACCATTTCCTTCGTTAAATGTACTATCCTCTCCACCCTCGCAGAGCAGGAGTCATCAGTGCCCAAGCGCAAAGTTTCGAGCACGCCGCCAGCAGCATATAGAAGATGCGCATTACATACCGCCAGAAGTAGCCAGTGCCTGTCTGCCAAACTGAGATTGTAGTCTACATAAGCGCGTCCAATATTGACACGTTGCGTGTGCTCCGGTATGTTGGATAACACTAACCCAACTCTACTTGCCCACGAACAAGAGTTTGGACAAGCACACAACTAGAAAAAAAGGCACGGTAACGCTCTTCCCACAAGACGAAGATAGAGGAACCAGAACTAAAGCATGGAGAGATGAGGTTTTTCAATGGATTGCGATTATATATGTTAGTACTTTAAAAACTCCCATCAATCCTCATCGGCATTCTGGCGCAATGGGTTAGTCTCTTAATTACCCTACGTTGTTGCTTTCGCTAACAGTTTTCTAGTAGCGCGTCAGATTCCAGTCATCGCTTTCTCGCCACGTATGAGAGGAGAACAAGTGGTGAAACAATGAGATTCTCTAGAGGTCTTTCTCGGCAGTCATGAACCAAGCTGGGCGATCCCAGCTGGGCACGCGCTGCACCCGGTCACCATGCTGATACCAAATGCAACACAACTTGGGTCCATTGATGATCTTGCCCACGGGCACGTCGACGACAAGAGATAACCCATACTAAACCCTCTACCCGAGTAATTCCCAGCTTGACAGAATACAACGTGCAACAGTAGATGCACCCTCCAATGAGTTCCGCCACTCATCAACAGCCTCTCTTCGGTCCCCATCCGCAATCGTGCCTGCGAAAGCCCGTTCGACATCGATTCGTTCATCGCATTGTTAGTCGGGGTTGCATGCCGATGGGTAAGACGGTAAAACGTACCGTAAAGAGAGATTCCATGACAAGGCCGGACGCTCAGGTCGCGGAGGATTTACGCTCGCAAAGAGAACTCCCGGTCCACGTTTCTGCGTTCGCTACTGCTGAGCAGTACCCGAGTGCCACCACGAGGAGGTGCAGAATCCGATTTCGCCACTCATCTAGGAGATGATTAAAATCACACTCCTAGCTACAGATCCGGCCCAGGTCCCTGAAGACCAAGGCGTTCACCGCAGAACCAGGATATGATTGTAAGGAAATGAATCCCTGACCACAGTCCTAGTAACAGATCCGGTCCAGGTCCATGAAGACCAAGGCGTTCACCGTTCATCGAGAAAGACAGCCTAGGTATAGACAATCTTTGGACGACCCCGAGTCTTGTTCACATTGAGGAAGCGCCGAGGCGTAGCTTCGGTTACCTCAATTGGAACTTCGAGTATGAATTCGCACAGTGAGTTTTCTTTCTTGAAAGTCGCGTCCGTTGTGACATCGGTACGCGCACATACAGACAGCTCACGGCCATCTGCTCCAAGCCCGTGAACTTGATCCCGAGCCACAACTCCTTACAGAAGGCTACAAAACAAAATCTATAAGCCTTCCTCCTCTTATTAGAGGTGCTAGATGAATACATATCCTTTTTTTACTACTTTCTTCTACTTGTTACTGCTGTTTTATGGCTTCAAAGACTCGGAGTTTGGGAGTAGGAAACATGTAGACACGAAAACATTATATCTCTACCCCCTAATTGCGCACTACTGATCCTGACGCTTTTGGGGGACCACGTAGCGCGCCAGCTCCGGGCGCGCCACTACCCTCTCCTCCTCCACCGCCATCTCCACCTCCGCCCCCACTCCCACCTCTCCCACCACTCCTCCAGCCGCCCCTCCAGCCGCCGCTGCCGCCGCCGCTGCCTCCTTCTTTTCGAAGGCTCGCGCCTTCTTCATCCCCGTCTTGGATAGCGGCTTACTAGGGTACGAATTAGCATATATAAATATAGCGTATATGAGTAAAACAGGAGGCAACTGATGAAAACGAAGAGGCAATGTAACGAAAGGAGGAAAAATGAACATGCCAAGGACGCGCGCTTGGTGGCTACAGGATGTATGCGACTTTGCACGCTGGGTTTACAGATAGACATGAAGCCTTTATGTAATTATCTATCCTCTAGCTCTTGTACCAAATATAGGCCTGGCGCTTACAATTAGAAAGGTTAGGGACCGATGCCCCGAAGCTCTTCTTCAAATGCTGCTTTCTGAATAGGCGATTTGTACTGCTTTCTTGTTTCTTGGGAGACTTTGCTGTTGCAGCTTAACTGGATTTGTTTCTTAGAGTTGCTCGATCTCATCGCCTCTTGAAGTCTACATATATAACTGCAACTTCTTTTAGGTTAGCTAAGTATACGGCTGGAGGCTATAAGATATATATGATTATCTAGGGTACATTGGACTCTAACAGTGCGTGAAAGGAAAAGAGGCTGGGATATAGTACCGTGCAGGAAGTCCACAGCAAGAAGAAAGAGCGGCTACTGTCCAAGTAGAAGATGAGATAAATATACATACAGCCATTGTGGTGGTAATGGTAGTGGTAGTGGTGGTTGTGTTTGTGGTTGTGGTTGTGTTGGTTACGAAGCGACAACACGACGAGATGAGAACATTTCTTAGGCTAAGTCACGTCTAATCAAAGCTTAGCTACATCCAATGCATGATCAGACGCGTTTCGCCGATGAGTTTGGATCCGAGACGCAGGCGTGCCTTCCTCTTGGACGTACGCGTGCCGACCTTGAAGCCCACCTACCATTACGTCCTCATAGTGATGTACTCAAGTTCATCTGCTTTAGCGTCAGGACCTAGATCCTGAGACATCTGCCCGCAATAGGGTCCTGAGCTGCCCCTAATAGGATGCACTATTGTCGCAAGACTAGACGTTTAGACGTTGACCCAGAAATTGACCCAGACTACCTCGGAGCACATAAAGGACGGTTGCGTCGAATTGCCCTATATAATGAATGACACACACCGATATTTGCAAGGCCGGACGCGCTTTGGAAATCAAGTCAGATGTCTAAGAACAACAGAATGAATAAGTCTTAGTAACTGGGGATAACCCGGACATAGGCTCCCATGTCTCATGGAGCTCCGTTCCGAAGTTCTGAGACTATACGATACCACCGCACTCGATCAGGATCACGAGCCCGGCAACAAGTCCCGTAATTAGACATAGGCGGTCACCTCGTCCAGAGTGTCACTGACCTCCAGTGACGATCGCCGGCATACCATCTACATCCCCGCTTCGATATGGGAACGCAAAGGGCCTAGGATATGTCATCAAATCGCACCAGACCATGTCTAGAAGCTACCACTCGGCAAAATCCTGTGTATCGACGACAGCCAGAGGCAAGGTCACAGTGAACCATCGCTCTCGTGGTGCCGATTGGACAGACTCAGGCAACGACACCACAACTATTGGGCTATCAGTACCAGAAAAACACATCTCTGAGTTGATCCCAAAGCCAAAAGAGGCAAGTCACGATCTGCCGGATAGTGCGCGTGCAACGTGAACCTCTATCGAAGCTCCACCCGTGTGACAAGCAACAAACACACAGACTCCCGTACCAAACAGCACAATTGCCGTCGCTCTCGGACATATACACGGGTTCAAAGTGCCGAACTCCTCGAATTAATCACCACTGGATAACTATCGTGGGCTGCTGTTTGCCCAACACGCGGGGGAAAATCCGGGGAGAAGCATTCTCATTGGTTGGGAGCCCATATAGTTAATCAATGGATAAAGCGCTTCAACACCACGAATCCTTCCAACACCAATGTATCTGGAGTGGCGACAAGAAAATCAAGATATGCAAAGTTACGGGCATGATTTGTTTTGGAGCTTAAGTTGACGACCTGCTCCTGTTCGCTTATCGTTCTGTTTTCTGTTCCACTACCTTCGCTAGGACGGACTGACTGACTGACTGACTACTCGGCGGACTTTCATACTGACAGACAGGATGAAGTTGTACCAGATCGCCGCACTCGCTGCGCCTGCGCAGGCTGCACTCCGCTTTGGATGTTCGACTTTGAGCATTCAGCGTCTTGATCCCCTGGTCGAGCCGGGCAAACTGCCTTCAGCCCACGTCCATCAGATCGTTGGCGGCAATGCCTTTAACGCGACCATGGACAAGGATCCCAGTGATGTGGCTAGCTGCACAACTTGCACCTTCAGTGAAGACTTCAGGTAAGGTCTACCACCCTCTCATCTAGGATCGGCT